TACATCCACGGACCAATTACCACGACGTATGTGGGTGCTGACGGAGACTCTGAGAGTGGAGTTGTCGAGTTCTACACCACAACTGATGGTGATGGTGTCACGGTGACGACGGAAACTTTTTCCAGTTTTGTAGATACTAGTTCTACTATGACTTTTTCGAGAGATGTTGTGAGTGTCAGTGCGGGTGTGTCTGTTTTGACGAGAATGGTATCAACTGATCGTCTTGGTACCGGATATTCCACATTGCCCTCAGACTATGGTACCACAACAGTTGATTCAAGTATTGATCCTGAGTCTCGAACGCTAGCGGTGTCTGCCTATATCACTACCGTTGCAGGTGGTAGCAATACAATTCTTAGAACTACCCTGGTTGAGACTTGTATTACTTGTGAGAGTGGTGAAACAGATGGCAATGGGCCAACAACTGCTAGCGTGCTGTATGAGACATTGAGTCCTTCATCAAATGCTGCGAGTGCTTTCTCCAGATCTGCCACCAGTTCGTCCATGACTTTGCCGGTTACAAGTAGCACTGCAGTTAGTGCTTATTTGAGTAGTTTTAGCACAGACCATACCAGCGTGTGTGGTGGTTCTTTTTGCTCAACTAGTCTTGTGGATGAAGGGGATGTATCAAAGTCTACTGATATATACACCCTGACTACGTCTTGCGTACCGTCGACATCCGGGGTAGTTGCTGGATCTGATATAATAACTAATACAGCTCCTAGCGAAACAGCCATTGATGTTTCGGGAGATGGTAATAGTGAGACGGGGCTGTCTGCGTCATCGTCTAGAAGAATAATGTTAACATATGTTGATGGAAGTACGAATACAAGGACTGCTTCTGGAGATGCGGAAATGACAACCTCTACGATAACATATATGTCAAGCAGAGGAACAGGAGAGGTCTTTGTTTCAGATGATTCAACCATAACAGATTCTTCATGCATACAGACTGTGTCGCAGATAGACAGTGTGACCGACGCGGACACCTTAATTGGAGAATCTGTCTCCCAAACAGAATCGATCTTAGATACTGCAGCCAGTTTCCTTGAAGTTTCTGATTCTACTTATAGAACAGATTCCAGTCTGACTTTATCTACTACTACTAGAGATACATGGACTCTAGGATCTATGAGCTTAATTGAACAGACCACTGTTAGTGGTGACCTCAGTGAATCTACTGGAAACAACCTAGAGTCTAATACAACCGTGGAAACATCAATTAGTGAGGGTAGTGGGGGCTTTCTTCTGACTACATCATATATAGACTCGGGAACAATCCACAACCTTCGACTGAATGGACTTGCACTGGCAATACTGGAGATCGTTGCTCTTCTTTAAATTGCTAACACTTCGACAGATTGTCAATACACAACTCAGAATCCATCTAAGCTAATGGGATACCAATCTTGCAATTGATAAGGATACATAGGCAAGGTGAGATGGAGTTATAGAAATATTTCGTGGTTAGCTAGATCAGCTCATCTGAAAAGTGTGCTCTTGTGGTTGGATAAATGAATGAGAAATTGGTGAATCTAGTGTCAACAGGACATATGAATGGTATGTTACTTTCCAATATATATGAGTCTTGTATTGTCGGTACTGAGTGCTGAAAATTCAACGGCATAATATGCCAGGCATCAGGTGTATCTCTGTTGGCAGACATAGTATAGTAAGCAATGTCAGTTTCGTTACTTTCTAAGTAAATATAAACTGAAGGGGAATAAGAGGACCAGACTTTCTTCTATAGTCGATGATCTAGGATCCAACGGAAAACTTCATCAACAATGAGCTCACAATATTTTTATTAAGAGCAGTAAAGGTATTTTACAAGGGGTTCTTTGGGGTAGAATATTCCCAAAGACCAACATTGCTCTAGAACAACATTTCGAAAACTTTGAAGCAAACCATTTATAGAACGATCTTGACGTATATATCGAAGATGATACCATAGCATGAATTAATGCCAATTTTTATGTCGTTATTATGGTTTTGAGATCTGTACCTCATAACGGTTATGGGATCTCAGAAGAGAATATCGTTACAGTCCATTCTTAACTTGAGATGTGATTACTTTGACGATTAGCATTGGCAGAAGAAAACTTGTCGTGCCGTTTCGTTTGGTAAGATATACTTTGACATGAAATGTTCTTGAAAACACCATGTATTAAGTATATAAACCAATGCTCTTATGTACTTTGTAACCACGGCGTATTTGTTAGATGTCATGATCGAAATGTAGGTGTCTTAGTAAACGCTACTGGGTTGCTAGGGACATGCACAGAACAAAGGCAAATGTTATCAGCACCCATTGGATGAGAGTAATTTTTGTTGCACTTCAGCATGAGTATCCTTATGTGGCTATTGATGCAAAGTTTTTATTCAAGAGCTTTGGGTATTTATCCTCGAAGCATATGTCATAACTGACTGTGTGGGAAACAAAACTGAAAAATAAGGACCAAGCTACTTTGATGGGTATTAAAAGATAGTTAAATGGGATGGAACCTTCTAGGACTATCATTTAGGAGTTATTTGTATGAATGTTAGCTGGTAAGGGTCATTGCATAGATCTAATTTCTTCTGTTGTGATATGAAATTTGCTGTTTCGTTTATACCATTGCTCTTTTTTATTCCACATTTTAACAGTCAGTCAACACAACCACTTTAAGAGTAACTGAACACGATTGCCATATAGTGACTCAAAAGCATCGAAAGGGTAGACCAATTGCCATCAACAGCTCAAATTTCCCCCTGGCTCTTGGATGCCGTTATCTTTTGTTTCTACTTCCATATTCTGAACTATGGCATAGCATAAACCTATTGATTCCCGTTCACTTGTCCTTCCAAACGTTTTAATTTCTGTTACAGTGTATACAATACTCTTTATGAGTCACCAAAAATCTCCTCTTTGATAGAACGACGTCTATGTTAAATCTTGACGAGTATGAATCAGCCTTCGTTGATACTCATTGGGTCTTTGCAATTGAGTCATCCAGTCATGACCACATTGCGCTGATGCCACATGTAATACATAGACGTGTGCTTATTTGTATATGACAAAGAGCTATAATTCTTGTACTTTAAATCCACTCTCTATGAATCAAAGCTGTTGTCATTGAACGTTGGGGAAGTAGTTATCTTTGATGCGTTGCTATGGTTTCACATTTGCTGACTGCGACCATCCGAACATCAAAATTGAGCGGGGTTGAGAAAAAACATCAACAAAGCGAAGGGGACTTTCTTATATCAACACACTCTTTCCATTGACAGTTCAAGCATTGAGTCTTTGGACGATGATGGTTTTAGGATGGAATGCTTCTGTGTATCACATGAGGTTATTCCAAATGATTTGAAAGGCTTTGAGTGATTGTGAAAGTCACAACAACAGCGCTAGAGGAAGAGATGATAGTTTTAAGGGTTTCATCTACTTTACAAGAATTGGTCTTCCAATGAGAGCTTTGAAGCTTGACACGTTTATCAATGGATCATATGGACCACCGTGATTACTTTTCTACCCAAGGAACTGGGTAAAAAACTACCACTCTGTCTCATGCATAAAGTATAGACATGTCTCTTTGGCTAAAGATTTTAACAACTAGATATCAACACATCTACGTATTTGAGTTGGCATTTCCATTGGTTCTCAAGAACAACAACTTGATGAAGCATACACAGTGATCGTATAAATACCACGGTATTTCCACTTTCTGCGATTTGATGGTACTTCTTGGTATTGATTTGTATTTCGTTGTCTGTGAAACGCAAACTTGATATGGGTCGTGAGATAGCGAAGTCTTATACGACTTAATTGGGATTTCAACTACACATCAGCAATGACACATTAGTGAAGACATGTCTATGTTTGTGATTGATGTGGAAGCTTTCTCATCACTCTTCACTTAGCTACACCAACCTCCAATCAGACTTGATAATGTTCACCATGATTCATGATGACACTTATATTCTCACAACTCAAGCTCAAGAACATTTGTGCACTTCTGATGGATGGTTCTCCCAGAGCTGAACTATAGTATGAACTCTGTCTGAATGTTGTACAATATGTTGCCGAAGAGTTTTGTATGCTACCTGGAGATAATGATTGTCGCAATAATTTATCAAGGTGATCTCTCAACACAATACAAACCCTAGATAGGCCACCCCAATACTCATCCACGATTCTATGGAAAAGGAGGTATATTTTGTGATTTGTCTGAACGCTTGATCATAAGTCACCATTGTGCTGTCTCGACTTCAAATTGAAGATGAATGAAATTCCAAAATCCAGAACGACTCAGGAATCAAGTTACATCAGCACAACTCAATTGAGTGGTAGCATTGACAGTGAGTCTTTGATATTGGTTGGCTCTTCAATTAATAGATGTGACTTCTTTGAATGCTTTATCATGTGTTTAAACCCAATTTTGTCGTCTTCCAAGTGGGCACGGTGTCAATTATGGAAACTGATGTGCTGATAGTTTTAATCATTCACTTTGATCTTTTGGGTTTCAGCGGTGTACATCTGAGGCATCATATTCTGTACTCATGGGCATGTCTACTTGTGATCCATACTTCTTCAGGCTTTCTATTGCACTTCTTTGACCTCTTCAGTTAGTTGAGAGTGCAGCCAAGATCCAATCCCACTGATTAACGACATTGCACACGCGACCAGCCCATGAGGAGACTATCGAATTTGAGTCACTCAATATAATTGATTTACACGTTGTCTTGAGGGTTCCAATTATGCTGTGTTCATTTCGAGTGGACAAAGTGCTTACACTATCAAGACTTTTCACTGTCCTGTGGAAGATCTCCCACGTCATCTGTACCATGTATTACTTCTCGAGTCTGCAGCGCTTCTGATTGGTACTTTGGAAGGCTATCTATGAGAACTGTTTGGTTTCCCCAAGGTATCGTCTATTTTACGCAACGCATCATCTTGTCTTCCACACTATATCGTCCTTCTTCCATATTGGATCGTGTCTTTATCGAATTGTACTGGTTTCCAATAGTTCCGAGTTACTCATCCGAGCTTGGCAGTACATATGAAGGCTCTAGAATCATACAGGGTATATCTTTCTTTTAGATTGTTGTTGA